TCAGATAAATTACTGAGTGAATTAAAAGTAAGTTAAAACTGCATCAAAAACCAGTCGTCTACAATACCTGATGGTTTAGATATGATAACTATTTGTGTATAAACACAGTCCATGTGTTGTGTAATAGATCTCTATCATTCCACTCCTACTTTTAATTGTTCTAAACATTTTCATGATAAGAGACGTGATTATTAATTGGTTATATTAGTAAACGTTTTTCTTGTTCGCACGACAATGTGTTGTTTTAGTTGTTGAAACGCTTCTTTCTTTCATTACGCAAATGCAGATGCAAATACGTTGTGTTTTATTTATATCTAAAAAAAAACATATGCAGTTTAAATGCCTACACTGAAATATGATTAACATACAATGTTGTGTAAGCCCAAACTTGCATATAGACTATCTGTGCTGTGACCACCATGGTTATCAACTTCTGACATTTATTGTTATAAGCTGTGAAACCTGACACCAACGTACATTAACATATAGCTAATGTGAATTATTGTCCTATATATGATAGAAAAGTAATTTCGTATTTGTTAAACACAACAGAGAAGTGTAAAAACGTAGCCGTCAATTACACACCTGTTTCTATATACAATAGTACGTAACTCTAGGTTAGATTCAAAAACAAACAAACAAACAATACAGTTATAAAAGTCCCGCTACATATTAGGACCCAAACAAAACTGAGTGACGTAACCATTTTTCGAGACAACAGTGATTTGAAAAAAATATTAAACAATAAACCAAAGGGACGGTGATGGTAAGGTAAAAACATGATTATAAATGTACATCTCTGTTACATCAAACATAGAAGATGGCGTAACGTTATATTTATTAACTATTGGTGATGTGTAACTAAATTAGGGATAGAAAAGTTCGATATGAAGTACAGCCCTCTAGTCTTACACTGCTAAATTAGGGACGGCTAGCGCAGATAGTCCTCGTGTAGCTTTGCGCGAAAAAGGCAGCTACTCATCACCATCCACGGCTAAATCTTGGGCTACTCTTTTACCAACGAACAGTGGGATTGAACGTTACATTATAATGCCCCCACGGCTGAAAGGGCGACCATGTTTGATAAGACCGGGATTCGAAACCCCGTGTCTCAGGTTGCGAATTGAGCGCCCTAACTTGGAAGGAAGATCTTTTTATGGTACTTGTTTTTGCTGTATTTAATCTAATGTACACGGAGTCGGTCCATGACATAGTATTGATAAAGGAATGTAGATTATATTTCCGTGTATCTATACGAAATGTGGTAAGTTTTTAGTCAAATGTACGTCTGTTGTACACAAAAAAATCAGATGTGATCAAGATGTCTGTGAATTGACAACGTCACTCTGACTCAGACTCTGACAAGTCGGAGTTCAAGGTGATGTTCTTGTGATGAATAAAAACACTTTTGTATATTGCATTTGCATAATCTCTAGAACCTCTAAAATGCATGTTTACCGGTTTTTTGTTTTGTTTTCATCATCCCTGTATATGTATATAGTATTTACTCTCCATGGACCAACGGATTCCTAGTTAAGCACACTAACCAATAGATCATTGTGTTTGTTTTTTGTAAAGATTTCCTTGTTCTATAGTGTGTAGAAACACTGTTCTTATTTTTATATTCTTACATGTGTTTAGACGTGATATTTTAATTTTACTGCGTTTTAATAGGCTTATTAGAAGTGTTTGTTTGTTTGTTTGTTTTTAATTAAGCACAAAGCTACACAATGGGCTATCTGTGCTCTGCCTACCACGGGTATCGAAACCCGGATTCTTGCGTTTTAAGTCCGCAGACATACCAGTGTGCCACTGGGGGCTACTAAAAGTGTGTAATATATTGTTCTATTATTTTATACAAGTTTCCATAAGTTTACTCTTATAATAACCAAAGTATAGAACTACAGCCGCCTCATTAGGCTTAACTAAGTTAGTTAGGTTCTATACATACGTTGTGTTTTTATTTATGTATACATTTTATTATTAGTACACTTCTTTGAGCTAGTTTAAATGTATAACATTTTCCCATTGGTTTCAGGGTAATTATTGTAGAAAAATACACTATACATGCATAGGGCATCTTTTCTTTTCAATCTCTTTACAACAGTTAAAACTTGTTCAGAATCGTTTTGAATTTCTTTTAAGACATGAATTTATCTGCCTACCCAACATGATTTATTAGACTTTAATTCACTCATGTTTACAATATAACACTCTTACCGTTGTAGTAAATACTGGAATTTATGAAACCAATGTTTGTTTGCCAAGTATACTGATTATTTGCAGACTCAAAGCCCTCACTGCCACAAAAGGTTTTGTCACAATCCGATACATAAAATAATCCGGATTGCCAAACCTCTTGAAAAAATTAACAAACTGTGTAATTCGTTCGTTTTTCTCGTCAAAATAAGTTTTCTGGGTGGGAGTGGGGGACTGGTGAGCAAACGACTTGGGATATCAAAAAAACTCAGTACAGACTGAAGATTTCGAGAGGGAGAGGGGGGGGGGCTAATTATCAATTTGATCTTTAAGACAGTAAGAGAAAATCCTTTAACTACAAGTACCACTTCCAAAGATTTGAACTGTAGTTGTTCAACGCTAAATATTTTAGCTTTAGTACCAGAAAATGTTTATGTTTTATATGTTATTAGAGTGAAATAATATTCACTACTTAAACAACAAAACGGTTTTAACAATTCTCTTTTATACTTTTATACCGTTAATGTCTCCTTACACAAAGAATACAAAGGAAGAACCTTACCTCAAGTACTACAACACGAAGAGTCTTATTAGTTAATTCATACACCGCGCCGCCAGGAGGTGACTTAATCCCTCCTGGAAATAATGGTGCTGATGTGAACTTCAGCTCCTCTAGACCGTTTGACATGGTCCAGTTTCCAAACTAAAACAATATATATATATATATATATATATATAAATACAACAACATAAACATCGTTTTGGACACAATAACTCGAACTTATAATATTGGATATTCTATGACTCTAACAATTTTATCATTGGGTAAAATATTCACTTCAAAGTATAGATTTAAAAACTCTGGATACATATTCACATAGGATGATTCAAAGGCATTTTAATTTCCGCTAGGTGAAAGAACACAGAAGTGAAAAAGGAAAAACATAGCTTGTATAATAAGCATTAATAATTACGTCACTGAAAAGTTTTTAATTGCGTTCAGAAAAACACGTAGGTTCAAGAAGTCTTCGAAAGCGCTTAGGTTGTAGGGTCTTTATCATTTTATATTAAGTCTTTAATGCATTCACCTCAGTAAATCCGGTCGGTTGAAGGTTAACTAGACTGTAGGCGATGTTTGAATAAAAACCAAAGTCGTTGAATTCCAGGTTTCCTTGAAGACCTCTCACATTTTTTATTTCAAGAATGGATCGAAAGAGTTCTTTGCCATCATCCCAATAGTTCACTGTAGCATTGGAGCACGTGCCACGTGAAAAAGAAGGGATATTAAAATTTTGACGGGAAATCAGAGAGTGAAGGCCATAGGCAACTGCGAGAACAGCATCGTATATACGGGCTGCGGCAGGCTAGAAAAAAAAACAGTTCAAGAAATTACTGAATATTTACCTATATGTATATATACAAGAGATTTATGACTTTTCTCTGTCTTCGTTCAAGTCTAACTGAACCGAGTTAAGTAACACAAAAAAAAGAAGAAACGTAAGCCATCGAACTTGTATTGTGTTAATTTGTTTAGCCTCTAGATGGCTCAGCGGTGAGAGCACGGGCTTATAATGCTAAAAATCGGGATTCGATACCCACAGCAGGCACAGTGCAGATAGCCATTGTGTAGGTCTACGAACTATTTGTTTAGGGGAATATTTCTCGCATGAGTTAGGTAGAAGTCGTAACATTTCAGCGGAAGGGGGGGGGGTCGTTTTTGAATTGTAGCCCTAAGTAAACCGTGAGCCAGTAACAGTGAAATATGTGGTTCAGAGCAAGTTTCATGTCAAATTGAAGAAAGTCATCAACAAACGAAAGTGGTCATCATTTGTTTGTTTGTTTATTTCGCGCGAACCTACTCGAGGGCTACCCGTGCTAGCCGTCCCTAATTTAGAAGTAATAAGCTAGAGGGAAGGCAACTAGTCAACACCACCAACCTCCAGCTCTTAAGTTACTCTAATCGAATATTGGAATTGGCCGTAACGTTATAACGCCTCCATGGCTGAAAAAAAGCGAGCATGTCGGGCCAAGAGGTTATGATTATGACATTATAACGCCACGTTCAACAGTCTTTACGGCACTAGATTTAATATTCCTTGACCATCAAAATGCAGTTGAGGTTCAATTGCACCCCACCCTTCCCCAGGCGACAACTTGCATTTATTTATAGAGTCCGAAAAAACAACAATTAAAGCTGTAATTAAGAGAAGGATCAGCAAAGAAAATTGATAACTGAAAATGCGATAACCTCCCGCAACTACCAATAATATTAGTATGAACATGTAAGGAGTAGAGACACGTTTAAAACCAATTACATAGTAATATGATAAAATTACTCTTAAAAATGGACAATGGACTAAGCCTACTTCGTGCCTATCACAGGTATCAAATCACTAATTTTAGAGTTTGGGTAGGGGCTACAAGATGTTGAAAAGTATTTCCTCAGATATTTAATTATTACATTTTAAAATAGGAAAGATAATTTTGGTCTACTCTGTATAATGCTTTTCCAACAAACCAGCACATGTAACGATACACACTATTGACATTTTACTGCTCACAAGCCATTTTATCACAGCTATGTCGCTGTACAAGAGTGATGTTTTAATACAAATGGAATAACTTATCACAACCCCTTCACTTACTAGCTCCGAGATATCAACAGTTCGGCGAACTTTAACCTCTAAATCTTGCTTCATTTTCTTCAAGAGAAGGTTTTCTTGAAGTGGTGGTTGGGTGCCTATAATTCCTGTCATATAATCCGGGACCTTTCCATTTGGCTCAAACAGTGCCTTACCACCCTAATCATGAAGATTTCAAGAGTGGTATTATTCACGTTCTAAATTGTTCATGCTAAAGTTTACAAATGGGATTATAGGTTTGTATATATAATCAACATTTTAGTTGTGAAAGTAATTGAAATCCACTTAAAAATCGACAATCACATCCATGGACCTTTTTATATCGAGTCACCACTGATTGAGTACACAGGCCTGCAAATGTAAACTTCATAAAAGTTGTTTTGGTTTTAATAACGAATTTTCCATAATTCAGCTACGCAGATTTCGTAAATAATATTCATTTTTTTCTATCACGTAAGGATTTTTTACAAATCTGGAAGAATAAAAACTATTAATTAGATCAAATTATTATTTCGTTTAGCATAATGAACATTCTTTATTATCATCTTTCTTACGTTTGGGTTCTAGAACGATCGATAAGACTCTCACGTCGCGATTGG